GGGGGGGGGGGGAAGGGAGGAGGAGCCTGCTGAAGCTTCAGATGCCCAGTCCTCTGCAGACCTCCCAAATCCAGATTCCCAGACACACATGGGCCTGTGTTTCAAACTTTCCACAGGATTTAGATACCCTGCACAGGCACCCAAGCTGGGCACTCCTGTTCATTCTCTCTGTCTCTCTCTTTCTCTCTCTCTTGTCCAGCACTGGAAGCTGATGGGGTAGGTAGGCAGATGTATAGAAAGTGCATCTATAGAGAGAAGACAGTAACACTGAGGTTAAGGGCTCGGTTCTCTGTACTGGACAGCCATAAAAAAAGAAAAACATGGGGGCTGGCCGCTTTACTCAGTTGGTTAGAGCACAGTGCTGATAACACCAAGGTCAAAGGTTCGATCTCCAGAGGCCAAAAAAAAAAAAAGAGAAAACAGACATGAAGATTTGTGTTCACATAGGGCATAGCAGGGACCAGGCAACAAAAGGCTGACAGCACTTTTTGTAGTGAGCAGAAAGCGAGCACTTCTGCAGCACCAAACTGCACAGCATTACAGCAGCTCCCCGAGTACCAGCCTTCCAGCCGGCCAGAGGGAGGGAGGGGCCCCCAGTGCGTCCCCACGCCTGTTAACCTGTGTTTCGTCCTTTGTCAACCAGGTCATGCCGCCAGTGCCGCTCCTCAGGCCAGCTCCCCGCCAGACTACACAATGGCCTGGGCGGAGTATTACAGACAGCAGGTCGCTTTCTACGGGCAGACACTAGGGCAGGCGCAGGCCCACAGCCAGGTCTGTAGCCCATCCCCAGCACTGCTGCCGCTTCCCAGTCCAGCCCTAACCCTTCTCCCAGCCTCCTGGGAGAAGGTTGGCCTGGTCCCCAGTAAGAGCACTGGGCTGTGGAGCAGCAGCACCGGCCCTAGGGCTCCTCAGCATGGCTGCTGTCTACTGAGCACCCTGCTGCTGTCACCTGGTCCCCCTCTTGGCTCCAGAGAGAAAGGGTTGGGGTCAAGTGGGGAGGAGAGTTGGTTGGGCAGCCCGGACGAGGAAGTGCCTGGTCTTCTCTCAAATCCAGGCCCCAGTCCTCAGTGCTGAACTGTACTTCCTGCCTCCGAGCCTCAGTTTCCCTTACTGTGAGAGTGCCGGGCTTAGAAGATTCTGGCAAAATCTGGTACTGCGAGTAGGGACGCGGGGCACGCTGCAGTTGCTGTTCTTGCTGAGGCAGGTCTGGGCGGGCTGCCCGCCTCACCCCAGTCAGCAGCGAGAAGGGACAGCAGGGGCACGAGTCCTGCCTGAGGGCGGGCGGGGCACCAGCTGCACAGGAACCTGGAGGGCTCTGTCCAGTCAGGCCAAAACCAGATTTCTTATTAAAGTAGGGAAGAGGGCCACGTGCTCCCACAGGGCATATTTCAGGTGACCTGATGCCGGTCAGGTCCCCACAGACAGCGAGCCAGTTGCCCCTGGCCCTGGACTCCAACCTGCTTGAGCATCTCACTGCCCCACTGGCTGCCTGTGCCCAGGCCTGGGGAAACAGGTGTCAGGGCTGGTGGTGACCGAGGAGAAACAGTCCTCACGCGCCGCCCGATGTCCCCTGCAGAGAGAGAAGCCCCGGGACCTCCCCTTCAGGAGAGGTTTTGTCCAGGCCAGGCCCCATGATGTGAGGCCCCAGGGGAGTGCTTGGACACGGGCTTGTTCGTGTGTCGGCGCCTGTCACGGAGCCGAAGGGGAGAGGGTGACCTGTCAGCTCCCCTGACACACGGACTTGAGGATTTCCTGTCGCAGGCTAACTCTGCCCCTTCCTCCCACAGGAGCAGTAGACAACGTCCTCGTGCCTGGTTTTCCCCTCGAAATTGTTGTGAAAGAAAACCTATTTGTAACAGAGGTTTTTAGATTTGCAAACCTTTTGATGAAGAACATTTGTTTTGTTCTGTGAAACACTATATTTAGATTAACAATTTTTCTAAAAATTGGGAAAATTAGTTACTAAAAATTGCTTATAATTTTGTTTCATTATTTTTGTTTGTTATTTCAAACGTGTAAGCTCTGGGATTCTTTTTGGAGCAATACCTGCAAATTCAGGCACCAGAATGTGCCTCAGAGCAGTGACATTTCAACATCGTGTTTTTTGTTTTGTTTTGTTTTGTTTTCGTGTCTTTTTATTTACGGTTTTTTCTGTTGCAACAGAAAGTGGCTTGGAAGTCTTAGGTGGTATGTAACAAATTCTTTAAAAAAAATTTTAAACAGTATTTAAATATTCTTTAATGTGTAAATTCATTAAATGTTTTACTTCTAATTTCTTGTATCTTGGCTGTCTGGTTTTATTGCATTTTTTAAAAAAACTGAACTATTATGTATTGTAATTAATTATGTGAATTCTGATTGAGACAGATAATTGTATTGCTGTCCAGCGGGGATGGGGGGGACATTTTATAGGGTTTGTATAATTTCTAGAGTTCTAAAGGGGTAATATAAAAATGTGTTCATGTGTTTAGCCTACTTTTCTTCATGTCTCCATTACTGGCTGCAATTGTATATCTAAGACCTCCAAGCTTGTTTTAAAAACAAAACAAAAAACCTTTCTCTATTCTCTGAAATATAAATAGTGTTATTTTTAATATTAAAAAATTCAATTTAACTTTTAACAAACACTGTGGAACATTAAACCATATAAAAATGTAGTAACTATTTTTTAATTCCAAGGTGTTTTTTGCTTTTTCTTTTAAATATTTTCTTAATATTTGTCAAATTAACTAGATGAATAAATAAATCTAGTATTAACCACAGAATGAATTAAATAATTTTGATTTAATAAAAGGGATAATATGATTTCCGATGTTTACTGTAGTGTATCTTGTACAGATAACATGTATTTTTAAAGGAAAAAAAACGGAATTGAAGCTATTTTTTCTTGCATTTTTAATTGACCTGAGGGACATTCCGTTTGAAATGTACTGACGTTACAGTTTCTGGCTTTTTCTTCTTATTTTCCTTATAATGCTTGAAATGTCTAACTATTAAAAAGGCAATTGGAAAATGTTATGCATGTTTTTTTAAAAAATGTTCATTTTATTTGACTGACAATTCATTTTACACTCTATATAATAAAATTTCCACAAGACGTCTTGTGGGCGAAGTATTTTTAGTCTGTGTGCTGCTGCTCCCGCCCTGCCCTGACCTGCCCTGCCCTGCCCGCTGCCACCCGAGAGGAGAGACAGGACCGGGCAGCCCTGGCCGCTGCTCGTGCGGACGGCAGCGCGGTTAGTGCACAGCCCGGTGTCTCGCTACTTCATTAAGCTCATTTTATTTTAATGGCTTTGTATAATTTGACAGTTTGACTTGAGAGCCGTGGTTACCATCAGCCCCTCTTCACTGTCACAGCTAAGCGTCTCTGAGCAGTGTGACTCTGAGAAGGCGGGAAGTGGAGTCGGTGCGCAGAGGTGCTGGTGTGCGCCCGGCCGTCGGCGCCCTCTCCCCCGTCCCCTGCCTGCCACCCACGCTCGCCTCAGAAATTAGGCCTGGACTTTTTTGGCTGGTCTTGGCTTCTTGGTACATGTTTCTCTGGCTGCTGCTGCCTGTGGCCTCTCCGCCCTGTCCCCAGCACTCACCTGCAGCTCTCGGGGGTGGTATTTATTCTCTCAACCCCACGCCCACTCTTGGACACTGGATTACTGGGAAAGATGGAAAGTGCCAGCAAATATGCTCATTTTGTTTTCATTAAGGAAGCAAAACAGGAATGTCCTTCCCCATAGGTTTAAGTCACAGAGGGTGCAACGGCAGTGCGGGACCTGCACTGCGGGGATACTGGGGGACAGATTCACCTTCAACTTCTTTTCCTTCCCCCCGGCTTTCCTTTCCCATTGATGGGAGCAGCTGACTTGAACATTGTCTGCTGCGATGTCTAAACATGCTCTGCCTTGAGTCCTTATGTGTGAGGCACTGCTCGGTCCTGTTTCGATCCTGATCAGAACCCTCCTTACTGCTCATACTCGTCTGTGCGTTTCCAATTCTGATCCCTCCTCTTTACCCCAAGCTCTAAGAGGAGGGGGGGAAGCATCTGTGGCTCCTTTAGGCCAAAAAAGGATGTGGAAAGCAGCCCATCTGCAGCCATTCCGAGGCCTGTTGAGAGCCGGAAGACAGAAAGGAGATGTGGCATCTCTAACTACACCTCTAGAGAATCGAGTTTGACGTTGAGAAATTGAATAGTAAAAGCCACTTGGAAAGAAGGGGGTGGGGCCGAGCAAGATGAGGATATAAACGCTGAGGACGGTAATGGGAGTTAGGGAGAGGGCATTACAGAGAAGACTTCCTTCTAATTCATCTTCCCAGCTCTGTGCCAAAACAGCATTTGGCATGGTTCTCAGGGAGCGATTGTGTGATAATGAACCCTAAGGTGTCCCTTAATTGAAGACTGAGCATTGCGGTTTGTGCCAAGAGTCATAAATGGTGCAGGCTTGCGGGAGGATGCATTTTCTTAAATGTATCGGTAAGTACAGATTAGCACTTGTCCCCAGTGAAATGCCCATACTATAAATTATGGAAATCTCTCTTTCTCTCTGATGCAATCTTTTATTGGGGAGGAGGGGGATGCAGTACAGCAGGAGGCGGGGGGAAAGTTTGCAAGCATATGAAATTTGGCCTCTCATTAACATGGCGCCCACGGAAGATGGTTTTCATCAGCAGTCTGGTGTCCTGAAGGCTAAAGTGCTTGAAATGTACCAAGTTCAGCGATTGTGTTCCATTAAGAAAGCTGCATGGTCATCACTGAAAGGGCAGTCTGTGTGTTTGGGAAGGCGGGGGTGGGCGGGTGCCCAGTCTGTCTCGTGAATGCTTGCACCACCCCCCACCTTCCACCACATGTGCAGACTTGGCCTCTGCCAGCTGCCCAAGTTCAGCCTTCATCAAGGACCTTACTGAGCTGATCCCAACCCCACCCAAAAGTTTGGACTGGGGGCTGGATGTTTTCTAGCCAACATGCCTCCCTCGATACCCTGGCCTCTCATCAGGAAGGAGACACTGTGTCTCCGAAGTTCCTCTCAGGTGGTGATCACCAGCGATGCCCCACAACCCCCACAGCAGGGCTGGCTGGTGCACAGCTGGTGTGTTGCAGCGCCAGGCCCAAGAGGGCACTGGACACCACGGGGCCGCAGCAGCTCCTAGCTGGCCGCAGCACCACTGCTCCCAAGCCCCGCTTCTGGTCTGCGGGGCCCAGCTGGGGTTTTTTAAGATGGGCTAATGCAGATGGTCCTGATAGATTCTTAGAGATTGATGGCCAGAAAGCGGCTTGAAGCTCAATTCCGCAGGGGGCTGCAGGCCCTGGGTCGGTGTCTTGTGTGGGGTGGAAGGGGAAGTGAAGGCAGCCCCCACCACGCTTGACACAATGGTCATCTTTGCTGTCCCTTATCTTCAGGGCCTTTCTGTAGCATCTACCAAGGGAGTTCTGGCCCTTCCCGGGCATCTCCTTTGATGGTGGTCTCCACACCCTGGGAGGTAGACAGGACTCCTCCCCAATTTACAGAAGGCTCAGAGTCACAGACTAAGTGGCCTGCCCTCATTCACACAAGTACATAAGGGCCGTTCTGGGCCAGGTTCTATGCTGCATTTCATCTGGGGCTTCCGGGGAGGGAGTGACTGCTGCCCGCAGGGGACTCATGGTCTTTTGCAGTCGCCACCAAGTGAGATAGTTGATGCGATGGTGAAACGGCCTTAAAAGTTAGTGTTAAGCTCCAGCCATGGGCCGAGCTCTGGAAGTGCATCAGCATTTTCAATTCCATATTTGCAAATTCACCTACTTCCTAAAATGTATCTGCAACCCCAGAATCAATAATGGTGGTGCTTTTGTGGCCATTCATGGCAAAAAAAAAAAAAAATGTGATTTACCCAATGCGCACCCCGCCACCCAGGGCTCAGATGGAGGAAGGCGACGCTCTGCCTTCTTGTGTCAGCTCACACTGTGAACAAGTGTCTTCGCAGTCTACTTAGGCCACGTCTGTCACGTTTTTGTGCTTTGGTTGGTGGTTTCGCTATTTAAAATGGCCCCCAAACACTGCTGAAGCTCCGTCTGGTGTTCCTGAGTGCGAGAAGGCGGTGTCATGCCCTACAGAGACAGTCCCTGTGTCAGAGGGACGTCATTCAGGCCTGCAAGCATGATGCTAATGAATGAACATACAGTAAGTAGGTGGTCTTGAAACAGAAATGCACATAAAACAAGGTTATGTATTGACTGTTCAGCGCTGGCCTGTGTGCCCCTCGGGAGCGAGGGTCCAGTATTTGCTGATTGAGGGTTCGTGGGGACTTTGACAATGTCACTACCACAAACGAGGATCCTCTATAAGATCTTACTTTCCCTTAAGGAAAAGGTTGTTCTCAACCCATTTTATTTTTATTTGTTTTCTGCGGGGGTGGGGCTGGCTGACGCGAGCATCCAAACCCGTGACCTTGGTGCTATAAGGCTGAGCTCCATCCAACTGAGCGAACCAGCCAGCCCCACTATCCCATCTGAGAGATGAGGAAACAGGTTGGAATAGGTTCTTGCCAGAGTCAGACCACGGGCGTGAAGGTGGAAAAGCCAGGCTCAGACCTTGGTCTCACTGCAAAACCAGCCACTCCACCACTCCACAGATGGACAGAAATGGCCCCGTATGCAAGGGACCCCTAACCTGGCTCTAGTGGGGCCAGCAGACTGTCAGGTGGAAATGTATGATGCTCAGACTTGGTTTTGAGTCCTGTCTCCACCCCTCAACACCTATGTGACCCAACCTCCTGTTCCCTCATGTTTCCTCACGCAAGGTGTGGGGATCATAGCTACCTGTTTGGGGGCTGAGGTGGGATTCAGTGACACACGTGTAAAGCACTTGACACCTAGTTCACAATGAGCACTCAAAAAATGGCGGCTAATAGTAATGATTGGGTCCAGGCCTTCTGACTGCTTTGGCAGGTTTTTCTGCTCCACTGTGAGAGGCACCCACAGACTGTGTGGTCAGGAAAACATGCCAGCCTCAGCACTGCCCCACCAGCTTCCCCTGGGCTCTCCTGGGCTCCCCAGGACCCCATGACCCCAGGGCCAGTTCATCCATCCCCTGGAGTCATGGCAGCTAAGCCACTGGAAAATGACAACCCCCAGGGACAAGAGAGGCAACTCGGGGAGAAGCCAGAACCCAACACACAGTGTATGTGACAGATGGTTGGGTGACGACTTGGACCCATGGTTGGGTGGATCAAGGCTGCTCAGCTCCCACCACGATGACATTTACGGAAGCCCTATTTCAAGCACATTGAAGAGGAGTCTGTGACCCTTTGGGTCTCTCCCTCTTGCATCCGATTCTCTAATCTTGACTGCCCTGAGAAGCAGGTGTCTTGGCCCCTGACCAGGGACCTGCGCCCTCCAACTGTCCCAGCTGTCACTCACTGACAGCCATCCTGCCGAGTTCACAGCAAGCCCCAGGAGTCCGTGCACCTTCTATTCACTGGGGTGCAGTCAGGTGCTCTAGGCTGCTGCTCTGTGTTTGTGACAAAGAGGACAACAAAGACTGGGTGAAGACAGGAAACGGATGATGGCTTTGTCCTCGGGATTGATAGCATCTTGTGAGGTCACCTGTCTGTTTATTTGAAAGGTTCTGCCCCAACCCCGACTCTTCTTCACTCAAGGGGAAAGAACAATCAGGAAGCCCAGAGACCTGGCTTTCGTTTCCAAGTTGGACAGCTGGTTGCTGTGAGGCTTGCACAGGTCACGTCTCGTGATCTCAGTTTCCCTTACTTGGGATCGGACCACATCAATGGTTTCCAAATTGTGATAGGCTGGGGTCAAGGGTTCCACAGTTGCTTGATTCAAATTTCAAAAAAATATATTAAGTTTTAATGTATTTAAACATTTTTAGTTATAATGTTTTTTAAAACGCTGTGCTCTCAAGTACATTCCACGCTGCTTTTCCATTTTATCAATCTGTCCTTGTGCCAACCCAACACACTGTCTTAGTCACGATACCCTTGCCTTTGTCATTCTCCAAGATCGCCTTGGCTACTCTCAGCCCTTTGCACTTCTATGTAAATTTTAGAATCAGCTCATCAATCCCCCAACCGCCACAAAAAAAGAAAAAAAAAATTAAAACTTGCAAGGATTTTGATTGGAATTGCATTGAA